AATATAGTAACACACACACACACACACACACACACACACACACACATTTATTTATATATATAATTCGATCAGGAACTTGAATGGATGATGCGATACGACTACGTGTATTTTTTTCTTCTCCGTACCATGACCGTACGATTTGATAAGCGTAATCTGTGCAGTGTCATTAACGCCAGCAATGCAGTCGTTGATTATTATATGATTTCGGTGAATTAAAGCGTAGAAAACAAAGGGCTGGCGATAAGAGAACTTGCCAGCCGCAGCGCCCACGGACTTCCGATAGCGTGCAATGCATTTTTAAGTCGTTCAGATTATTTTACATTTGTATTGAAACTTGTTTACTTACACCTACTTGTTTACTTACCTTTTGAGCCCATTCTGTTATTGACAGAGTCGATTAGTCATCGTCTGAATTTTAGATCAATATATTTAAATTCTTCTTTTTCAATTAAAACATTTCTATTCAATATTCAAAAAGTCAATGTAGATATACGTTTATTTATTTTATACTAATAAATTAAGAGATATAATTACAATAAATTTTAGTTGAAATAACTACAAAAAAATCTTTCCAGCAACAAAATTATATCTTGAAAATATTTTTGAAGAATATCAATAGGATGAATCAACAAACATAGTCGCGTTCAACGTTAGATGTTATACCATGCATGAGAAGTTTAACGACTTGTATGCGGTAACGATTGATGGATATACTTTTCTTACGTGGGTAGACGTAATCGCGAGGGATTGAACTAATCGGGATATAAATACCGATTACAGGAAAAATATCGATTTTTCAAGCGCGTAATGAGGCAAACCCTCCGGGCTCGCTATCCGATGATTAATCGGGTTCATCTATTTATGACGAGGAAACAGAGTTGAATAGAATGACGTATGTACCTAACGGCCCACGTTACCGTAACGCACGATATCGTAACGTTTGCCCTACGCGTTTGCATTACTCACCCGTTCGATCGGTTTACCGCCATTTGCGCGGAACGTTTGCGTTTGACACGTGTCGCGAATATCCGCAATTATCTGTTTCGCGTGCATCCGTAATGAGAGGCGAGAGAGTTCTATTCTAGGAATGTGTCAAAGGTAGAGAACAAAAGAAATTTGCAAAGGCAAGTCTGAATATAGATGAATTGAAACAACATTCTTATACGAGTAATGCATAATTATTACATCAATGTTTGCTTTGTCAATAGTCGAGTCTCATTTCAAATTTGTTGGTGAAATAAATGTGATTACGTGGAAAATTAAACTTATTAGTTTAAAATGCAATATAAAAATTTATAAAATCAATAACCTTCATTTTTAGAAATTTTGTAATTAGTAAATATAAATTAGAATTATAATTTTGACAATTAGACAAGTTGGACTTATATTTAATATTTTTAGTAATGATTACAAAGCTAAGGATTTAAAATTTTATATTTTAAGTTTTCTAAACTTACAAAGTTATATTGAAATTTTATGATTATTAGTAAATTTGAAATTTATTATAATTTCAAGTTGGATAATATTTTATTACAGATTCGTCAATAATATAAATTTCTACGAAATTAATTACGCGCCATCTCGCGTTTACGCGAAAACGGAGTTCGCTGGTTCGCGGTGCCGAAGATGCGAGAGACGATCCTGGGGCGCGCGAGGAAACGCGTGGACACACAACAATGCTGGGTCTCTATAAATAATCGAGTCTGCGGCGGCGGCCGCGCGGTGGCGCAGGCGTCGTGCGCGCGCGAGAGACGAGAGGCGCGACGCGGCCGCGCGATGCAGTTCCTTCTTGTGTATCGTGCGGCGTGTGTCTGTCCTCGCTGCTGCCGTTACCAATCGAATCGCTCCGTTTGCGTGCCCGTCGATGCGACCTTCGTCCCGCGTAACAGCGACCGTCGCCGCCAGCGCGTCTCCCGGGTGCAGCAGCGACGTTGCGCCGCGCTCCGTTCGCCGTCGGTGCACCGCGTACGCTCCCGTGCATATTGCGTCTCAGTGTGTGTCGTAATTGTCGTCGTCGTCGTCGTCGTCGTCGTCGTCATCGTCGTCGTCGTCGTCATCGTCGTCGTCGTCGTCGTCGTTGTGTTGTTGGCGTTGTGACCGACGAGAATGACAATCATCGGCACGGTCGACTGTGTGTGAGAGCGTGCGGTACGAAAAGATCTAAAGAGAGAACGGAGAACGTTGAACAGGCGCGCGTCTGTGGTGAGAGAAGAATTTGAGTGTTGTCGGATCTGTCTGTCCTTTTTCTCATTCTTTCGCGCGCGTTGGTGGATACTCAAATTGCCTGAAGCAGAGGAGAATCTGGGACGGACGCCGTGCGAGAGGTAAATGGAGAAACGATACTTCTTTTTTTTTTTTTGTTCGGAAACGTTCGGTGACTGCGGCTACCAAGCGCGGGCAGTCATATTTCCGCGATTTCACGGAGAGCGGTGTCGCAACGAACGTAAGCGGGCGACGACGGGTCGAGGAGGCGCGTTGCACGAAGATCTACGGATCGCGCGAGGCGGATCGTTTTCCCTGCGCTCTCTCGCTTTGCGTTCACCCGATAGTGTGCGCGCGCGCACGCGCGCGCGTCCTCCGTTCCACGCAATCTGCATTCTTTCGCGTCGCTCCGCGTCCCGGAGCGCGAGAGTATCTTTCGCTCGATAA